TTTAAATATAAATAGATCAAAAGTAATGCGTACAGAACAGTTTTCAGATTAATTGATTAGTGTTAATTATATTTTTTAAATTCCATAATATTTCTGGCAACAAAATAAAAAGAATTCGGATTGTTATTTTCCTTTTTTTTTTTGTTTGTTTAAAAATAAATAGATCAAAAGTAATGAGTACAGAACAGTTTTCTGGTTTTATCCCCCCCCCCCCCTTAACACACACCCCGCCCCAACAACCACGGACACATGAAACTAAAGCAGAGAGGTGTCTCTGTCCCCAAAGAGAAATGTGGACGAATGAAACTGATGCAGAATGGTGTCTGGATTACCAAAGAGATCCACGGACACATGAAACTAAAGCAGAGAGGTGTCTCTGTCCCCAAAGAGAAATGTGGACGAATGAAACTGATGCAGAATGGTGTCTGGATTACCAAAGAGATCCACGGACACATGAAACTAAAGCAGAGAGGTGTCTCTGTCCCCAAAGAGAAATGTGGACGAATGAAACTGATGCAGAATGGTGTCTGGATTACCAAAGAGATCCACGGACACATGAAACTAAAGCAGGGAGGTGTCTCCGTCACCAAAGAGAGATGTGGATGAACGAAGCTAAAACAGAAAGTTGTCCGGTTCACCAAAGAGATCCACAGATACAAGAACTTTGAAGCAGAAAATTGTCTGGATAACCCTAAAGAGACGTGGATACAAGAAACGGAACGGTTTCAGATAGGATCACCCCGAACGGTACCGTAAGACTGAATGAAATTTATAGTCCATTAGTTCCAGTCGGCGTGAAGCCAAACACGTTTCGGATGAATGAATCAAACTTTAGCAGAAGATTGTCAATCGGGCTCAACTAAAAGAAACCCATGATTTAAATAGCCAGGCAACTAATGCTTGTGTGATATTTCTGAATGTAAGATATCCCTCATCGTTGTTTATATACGAGTCTTATTTACATAACTTATTTCATGTAATTAGATTCTGAATAAAGTAATATTCAACATGTAATGTACAAATAAAAAAAAAATATTGAACAATTTATGTTGGTTTGATTCATATGCAGAAAGGGAGACAATAAAAACCAGTTCAAATCAAGGTAAATTTAAAAAAAAAAAAAAAAAAAGGGTTTTTTAAAAAAAAAAAAAAAAAAAAAGAAAAAAAAAACCACAAAAAAAAAAAAAAAATATAGAAAAATTTATTTGGGTTTGATACAAATGAAAAAAAGGAAAAAAAAAAAAACAGAAAAAAAAAAAAAAAAATAAAAAAAAAAAAAAAAAAAAGAGTTCTTTATAACAAAGAAAGAAACAAATGCACAAAAAAACCCCACCTAAAATGAATCGAACCCAAAACACAGGACCGGCGACAGGAGGATGCGAGGCCTTAGGGCAAATTAAATTTTTCGGGGCCGTTGACGTTACACCCCGGCCAATTGTGGTATGAAGTATGAAGAAAGTTCACAATTATACCGGGTGATGCTGGTCATTTTGGGACATATCACAGCGGATATAGGTTCATTTGCTCATTTCCTGAAATATCATTATTATTTTGTTTTTTAGCTTTAACAGTTGAATTATCTTGAGCCGACTTACTTATCGTGGCTAATCAGTTGTTGCTGATCTCATATCTGTTGAAAAAAATGAATAATAATCCGAAAAACACACAAAGCTTAATTATAGAGACTGCAAAATGTGGAGAAAAAAATAATGTTCAGAGTGTAATCGAATTGTTAAATAAATATTGAGAGTTATTCATCGTCAACAGGGGTAACACTGTGTAATTCCTTTGAGAGTGTTTACATTCTATTCAATCAAACCTGATATATCTATCATCTCCTGTCAGTTTTTTAATGAAATTTACTTAATACTGAAAACGATTCCTTTTGCACTTGCAATGGTAACCGTCACTCACTGCGATGTCGTTTTTCTTCTGGAATCATTTCTCTCAAGATCTTGCATCACAACGTCTAAAAGCCACGTCCCGACCAACCCAATGTTGCTCAAAGTATCCAGAATCACGTTACGGAGTTGCTGGATAAGAAAAAAACTGTCCACATCCATTAGCGGTTGTTGGGAACGGTTTCTTCGAGGTCCCAATTTTTGGCCCCCTAGCCCCAACAAACATTCCACCCTGAAAGATTCTGCCAGCGTCTGTTGTGCTATTCCAACAGCCCTATTTCTTCAGACGCCTGCTATGTTTGGTCTCTAGATTAATATTAAAAATGCTCATTTCTGCAGACGTCTGTTATTTTTGGTCTCTTAGATTGATATTCAAACTGCCCTTTTTCTTCTCACATCTGTTAAGTTCTCTAGATTCATATTCACACTGCCCATTTCTTCAGGCATCTGTTGTGTTTGGTCTCTAGATTCATATTCACACTGCCCATTTCTTCAGGTATCTGTTATGTTTGGTCTCTAGATTCATATTCACACTGCCCATTTCTTCAGGCATCTGTTGTGTTTGGTCTCCAGAATCATATTCACACTGCCCATTTCTATTATTTACTATTATGTTTTATTAACACCGGCTCGATGTTAGTTTTATTACAATTTCTTTTCCAATTGTCGTTTCTGATGCAAATCCTTCTTCTCTGTATTGGGTGAAGAAACGGGTTAGTTTTGGGACTTGTGTAATGGCGACATATAGCTGATGTCTGCATGAGCTTCGTGCTCAGCCCCACTTCTGCAGATCGTTTGTATCGGGATGTCTGCAAGATCTGGATGACGGTGTTGACCGAAAACAGGAAGTCATACCTTGTAACCATGGCAAGCAGAAATTTAAAAATAAAAATTCCCGAGCTCTAAACTTTTAGTTCTCAAGACAAGCAGCTTCATTATCTTGTACCTCTGACCCTTGTGTTGACTGGCCATTATGAATAAGCACGGCCTGGCTTTATTAATAATTTATAATATAATAGGGCTTCGCGGGGGATTCCCCACAAACGAACCGGGGTCTTGGGCAGTCACCCGTTCGCCACCCCCTAAACACCGAGGGTCACATCCATTTAGCCTCTAAACCAGTGGTTCTCAACCTGTGGGTTGCGACCCCTTTGGGGCCCGAATGAACCTTTCCCAGGGGTCACCAAAGACCACCGGAAACACATATACTCTAATTTATGACGTGGCAACGAAATCAATGTTATGGTTGGGGGTCGCCACAACATGATGAACTGCATTAAAGGGTTGCGGCATTAGGAAGGTTGAGAACCGCTGCTCTAAACGATGAAGTACTGTACAAAGTTCTTTGAAAAACATATTTGAATTGCAGGCATGCGTGGTGCCATGAAATTCTTGTTGCAGCTCTTCAATCTTTTGAGGGTTTGTATTTGGAAATAAGAGGAATACCTAAATACTGTTGTCTTTTTTTTTTTTTTTTTTTTTTTACATCCTTAGGGAAATTAATGAGACACAGACAATTTGTATTAATAAAACGATATAGGTACATTTTAAATTATAGTTACACAGAATACAAGAAAAAAAATGGTAACCTTTTTGCAACTGCCTTCAAATATACAACACAAAACATGTAAGTATAATTAAAATGTACATGCTATATTATTATATATATATATTATAAGATAATATAAGATTATTTTATTGATCCAAACAAATGGAAATGTGTTTTGATTGGATTGTATATTTTCAACACATTAAAAAAAACAAAAACAAAAACAATTTGAGCACAAGACTTCGACATTAAATTATTTCGATTTCTCTTAACCATATCAGAGACTTAATAGTTCTAATTTAGATTTTAAACTTCTAGGGGAGCACGCTGGTGAATTCGCACAGATTGGGGAACAAAATAATGTTTATATTTTTCAGTTCTCGCCTTGAGAGAAAGAATTCGTCCCGAACCGATCCTAAGTATCTGCAATGAAGAGGGTGGGATGTTTCATCCAAAATTTGTTTAGTTTTACAATAACATCTTTCTTAAAATAGTTCTTCAAGTGAAGGATGTTTAGTTTGTGTTATGTTCCTAGCTTTCTTGTTTAGCGTGTTTGTTCGGTCTTTAATATCAGACGATGAATTCTACCCAAAAAAATGAAAATCCTTTTAGAGAGATCTGCAGTCCTTTGTAAATTTTTTGTACTGTGCAGTTGGTAACGCAGGACAAAATTATGAGTGCGTTTCATTTTTAATTATAAATGACCCACTCTTACCTACACATCTAAGCCATGGAATATCTTATTCAAAGTTAACAGGGTAGAGTTTGAAGTGACTTCGGTGTTATTCAAGTGTCAACATAAACTATGAAAGGTACACCAACACGGGGTTTTGCTTGTTCACTTCAACTAATCTCCCCCCCCCCCCAATCAAATGCTGAGAGTGGCCTCAAACTCCAATCAAATGCTGAGAGTGGCCTCAAACTAGAAAATGGAAACATAATAGATTCATAATAGATACTTAATAATGTGTTTTAATATAGGCCTATTCATATTATACCACGCTATAAAAGTTTTATGATTAGCTATTTTGTGTATTATCACATACATTTGTTTTTTTATTAAATCTTGTTTTTACCAAATTCAGTTTAAATATCATGTGTTAAATCAGGAAGTAAATCATATTTAAAAAAAAAAACTGGTTTTCTGACATATTGCCCTATCACATAACTGTTACACATCATTGCAAATCCCATCTACATGCATAGGAGCCAAAATGATCAATAAATTGATCGTCTGCCCTTAAGATATAGAAGAAGAGAAGACATCCAAACAAACTAGTGTGCCAGTTGGTCTTTGCTTTGTGATAACCCGTAGTGGTAACTAAATCTAGGACAATGTACAATTGCGTTATATCCGGGTTGGGAAATAATGTTTTAACCGTTCACGCCTACAAAGCTATAAGGTGATGAATAATGAACACTTTGTACAAACGATCGCTGGCGTTGTTACTGAAACGCTGTGTCAGTGTCACATTCATAAAAAGTATAATGGATCAAGAAAGCTCTTCAAAGGACAGTTAGTTAATGTGATAGCATATAGGTTTAAAAATAAAATCGGTAAAATCCGCAATTCTTTATCAGCAGCCACTGAACGTTTTCTGTCTGTGATAAATTGTTGTGTGAATTTTGAAAACTACAACAACACAGCATCAACATCACAACTCCCATAGTCAAACGAACCACCTACATACTTTGTTAGTTTTCGTGTCAAGAATAGCACAGTTTATATTATAGATGGGCGCAAACTTACAAAAAAACAATGGTAACTTCATTCAGGAACACTGTAAGTGTAAGTGTTGGAGTTTTGTATGAGTTTAAAGCAGCGTACACATTTAATATAATAGACATTTATTGGTGAGTTACGTGACTATTTTATTTGGATATTAAAATTATGAAGTTACTTAGCTTAAAAAAAAAAAAAATCTTTACAATGTCAATTATAAGAAATGAAATCACCAGCTTATTTAAATCCAACCCGGAAATCAATTCAGTTTATTTTCCGTCCCTTACAATATAGTAAAGCATTTTTTAAGCAGGCCTCCATGCCTATACCGTTTTCCGTATAAACAAATTAAATAAAAGTTTATTGACATTATTGTTGGCCTATACTATAATGTAAAAGAAAATAATTTATCAATAATTAATACCGGTAACATTAATTTTACACGATGTGATGTAGGCTACTATTTCATGACTTCTACTGGTTTTATAAATTTAAATATGTAGGCCTATCATATCTGACAAGGGTATTTTACATTAATAGATGTAGATCTAAATAGATACGGGAGTAAAATTTAGGAAAATGTACAATTTTGATATGACGATATAAATTTGAGGTTGAGGAATGGGGAAACCCTATTATGACTTTGTTTGGTCGCGATATTTATAATTGTAACTGTTGAAATCAGTTAAAAAGAATCAGTTTTCCCATCAAATTTCAAAGTACGTAAGTGCTTAATTAATAATTGGGTTTAGAATTATATATATTTTAACTTAATTTAAAAATGAGCTATATATATAAATATATATATATATATAAAAATATATATCTAAATATATATATATAATATATATAAATATATATATATATATTTATATATATATATAAAGATATATATATACGTCACGTGACTGACGCTGACGTCAGATATTTTTTTAATAACGTTAATGGCGGCCTTTGATCAAAAACAGCATTTCCCGAAATGGTAAAAACGTTAGACAGGTAATAAATTCGGATTTTGAAATTGAACCCAACCTTGTTATAATTTGTATACAACTATTGCTTAAACTTGATTAGCTAAAATAATATTATTATATATTTTAATAAAAGGGCGAAATACTTATAAGCTCATATCCGGAAAGCCAATAAAAAGTATTATTAGGGGAGCTCACTCTTAATAAACAAATGAAAACTGTCCATATTAGGAGTTTTTTTTTTTCCTATCTCTCTCTCTTATTCTCTGGTCTGGTTGATTTATTCAAATAACTTATACTAGGATTTAACAGAGTTCAGTATTTACACCAAATCCGGGTATTTTGAGAAATTGCTTCATCGCAAGTGACTACAAATCCACCACTCCTGGCTTCGTCACTGATCTCTTAAGTTTAAGTCTATTAAGTCGAAAAAGATTTGACATCCCCTCCCTCAAAGACAGGACGAGAAAAGTTCCGTCTAACATTTCTCTAAAAAAGTTGTCACGAGACTGGTGCCGGCAATTCCAGCTAACACGTATGTAACCCTGCAGAAGCCAGATCACTTAATCAGAGCCAAACACTCTCACTCAATAAACACTGACTTCACCTCTGACAACTTCATTTCATGACCATGAGCAGTTACATCCGGAACAATGATACATGCTTCACTCTGTAACACAATTCAATATAAACAATCATTCTTCCCACGAATAATAATTGCTTGGAACCAACTGGACAATGCCGCCGTGGACTCGACATCAAACAAGAGTTTCAAGGCTGCCCTGGCACCCGCTAGGAGCGGTTAGGATAGCTGCATCATTTCCTAAACCATTGCACATATGCCAGTACTTGGTTGCAGCAATGTAGTCCATCAGAATCAGATTACCCGGTGGGTCCAAGTCCAAGTGTCACAAAAAAAGAGTTAACGTCTCATTTACTATCGGCTCTATAGGCTACTATACAGTAGACTATAGTATACTTACTATTATAATAATTTATTTATAATTAATATAAACAATAGGCATAGCAGGCCTGCACAACGTACGGCCCGCCAGCACACATTTTGCGGCCTGCGAAGACACAAAATATTCTTTTTTATTATTATTTTCTTAATAGTTTTCCCTCCGTCCTATTTTCTTTTGGCCCGCACAAGGTTTTTATAAAGTAAAAAGTATTACGCCCTGCCTTACATTTTAAGTTGTGCAGCTCTGGACTATAGACATAGGCACAGGCCTACAGTCTACAGACAATCCTCTACTGTCCTGTCCTACACACTATCTGTTGACCATTAAACAATATTCTACAGACAGTCCTACACTTTGCCTGTCTATACCATACCCATGGCTTTTTATTTATTGATATAATAGTCACCTTCAAAAAAATTTAAAATGCTTACCTGTGTTCAACGGTCACTATGATGCTCGCTGCTTGACAGCTTTTTTTTCTCAACTTTGTACTATTAATATAAAACATGTTGCATATTGGAGGGACTGTTGGCAATAGGATGCAGTCACACCAGAAGCAAAATATATAAAAGAAATTATCTGAAGAAAGTTAGAATCAGAAGGTTCAATATAGTCACTCTTTGCTCCTTTTAAACGTGATGTGGGGGGGGGGGTATTATTATGTAGTGACTGTGATGAAACAAAAGTTTTGTGATGACAATAATAAATATTTAATGTTTAAATTTAACATTAAATACAATAATAAATATTTTATATTTAAATTTAACCATAAATTTAATAATAAAGATTTAATACTGGGGATTTAAATTTAACAATAAATGCAATAATTATGATAAAGTTAGCCTGAGAAATCATCTGAAGGTCTGACCCTAAAATCTCACAGGGTAGTGTGACTTTTTCTGGGGACAAGCCCTGAATTGAAATTAAAAATTTAAAATTGCAATAGATTTAGTAATATTATAACCACTAACTACTGTTTAGTAGGGTTATATATCAATTGACTGCATTTAATATTCTCAGTAATTAGAGAATCACCACTTTAAAACATTTTTTTTATTATTGCTTTAAAATTTTAATTTAACTCCAAAAAAAAAAATAAATAAAAATTGTATAAGTTGAATTAGGTGACATGGTGTTAATGCCTAACTATTTTTAACATGTTTTTTTTGTAGTTAGTTACTTCCTGGCACAATAAAGTTTCATCTACTGATACTTGTATCTGTTAAAACAGATTGTGCTTCATCATAATAATTTTTATATAATAGAACATTTCAAACAAGCCAAAGGAGTATGTATAGGAGGAGAAAGGCATGCTGTAGCTTAGCTCTAAGAGTCAACAACATATACCTTACAATACAAAGGTATATCTTATTCCATGGAGGATCTACAAGAGGCATTATTGCAACATTTATTGGCAAACGAGTTAGTGAGGCGTAGGCTTACACCTGTCACACAGGTAAGTTAGGCTACTAATTCTCATTGTTTCTATTTTAGGAGTTAAATTACCTGTCTGTTTCATTACAAATAAATTTCCATAATTATTATGGTAGTTTGCACAATTCTCTAAGTTATTATTATTAAGCGTAAAATACAAGACAAATGAAGATTTTTACTTTAATTTATTCAGTAATAAACGGCTTAACTTGATCAATTAGTAATGCATCAGATTTGAAGAATATTAAATATTAAATATTTTTTTTACTCATGTATGCGTCTGACTTACAATTGTTTAATGATTAATTTATAAATTTCAATCACCCTAAACTAATCATTAAAGGTCTTCTTCTTCTTTGACTTTCCAACTTCCAGTGGAGCATAGGAGATTAAAATATTTTTTCCAAGTCTTCCTATATCTTGCGATTTTCTCTAACTCTTTCCAACTTTTTTCAATCTTTATTACAACACCCTTGTCAATGCCTTTTCAAATTTGTTTTTGGGCATTCCTCATCCTTTTGATATTTGAGGGTTTTGTACCAGTGCTTGTCTTGTTATATTTGGTATAATTTTCTCATAGTATTACCTATCCATCTCGATTCATTACAGATATCACTCGCTAGGTCAGAAAGAAATCGACCAGAGACAGGTACACTGAGGTATTCTCAATTATTGCAAATTCGCCAACAGTTACCTGAGGCTGCCCAGCGGCAGGTGGCTCATGTTTCTAGACACCCACAGGTTGAAAACAGGTCTTTGCAGGCAGAGCCTCTGTTAAGGGAACTTTTTCGTCAGGTATTGACGGTTAGTTGATTTGGTTTTAAAGTTTCAAGTAATTAGAAGAAGGGTGAAATCTAAGCAGAGTGATGAAGTGTAAAGAGATGGATGAAGTCTAAGCAGATTCAAATACACAAATTATTAGTGTGAACAAGTAGGGTAAAATAAATTATTGATAATTCAAATTGTGACAAAGTAATAATAAAACTAAGAAAAAGTAAAGAAAATTGGCTCTTGTTTATAAAAATGTTCATCAAATTTTAGGAAGCCAGTAATTTTAGTCTATCCTCTGTGGATGCCATTTTTTAAAAAAAAGAAAAAAGCTGTGATGTTAAAATAAACATAATCTTTATGTGGTTAAGTAGTTAATTTATTTGAGATCTTCTCCTTATATGTTATTTAAGAAATACAAAATCTTGTGAAAGCCATGGGATGCCTAAAATTTTCCTAAAAAAAGTCATCTCAATATCTAAGGGTTTACTCAACAAATCTATCTCCCCCTCAGCTGGCAAATGAAACTTCCAGAAACAAACCAGATGAAAACCCAGAGCCAACCAAGGAGCTAACTTTGGAGGATTTAAAAAATTTCATTGGCTCCAAAATTGCAGATTTGGGAACCTATGACCCCAAAAGTGTTTTGGAATTGCTCCAGTTGTTGGGAAAAGTTCTCATAGAGTACCCTGAAAAAAGAAAAGAAATCACAGATTATCTGGCTGAGATCGGCTATGCAAGTAAGTCCTAACAGTGCACATTAATATGACATTTATGATCAATGTTTTCATTGCCTTGAACTTTGACATTAATACATCATCCAAAAACTTTACATACTATTACATTTGAGTTGTATTGAAAATTCTTTTTAACATGAACAAGGTTTTTAAATGGTAGGAGGTTATCTAGAATGAATCTGGACGAGAAAAAAATCATCACAAAAGGAAATAATAAAAAATGGAGGCATTAAATTTGGTTAGGCATCAGACACAGCCATCAGGGAAATAGCTTTAGTTGTTGTCATTCATGAGTATGGCTGTTGATAAACATTACCCGTTGTGTCAGCTTTCTCAGATCAATTCACTTTGATGGTGGAACAGAAAATGAGTGGAAGCCTGCATTATATTCCCATGAAAATGAGTGAAAGTCTTCATTGTATTCCCATGAAAATGAGTGGAAGTCTGCACGATATTCCTATGAAAATGAGTGGCAGTCTGCATTGTATTCCCAAGAAAATGAGTGGAAGCCAGCATTGTATTCCCATGAAAATGAGTGAAATTATGCATTGCATTCCTATGAAAATGAGAAGAATATAACTTAAATATTATGATGGGATAAAATCTAATTCATTTTGCTGTACAGGGGGCTGAAATTAGGGGATGACTATTAGAATAATATATTATTCTGAACCTCAGGCTATTTAGAAAAAAAGCAATTGTTTGCACCAGTGTTTTCCAACCACCTAAAGATTATTTAACCTGTCTCACGCAGCCTGCAAATTATTTTAAGAGGTCTGGCACCACTTAAAAAAGTTACAATGCATTTAAAAAAGTGTACAAAAGTGTACTTAATTTTGTGAATCTTACAGAATATTTAGAACTCAAAAGTCAGCTTGTGACTTGTTGCATAAATAAATATGTCTATAAAGAAATATGAAAAAGTTTCAAATTACATCATAACTTAGAAGGTCAACTGTTGTATAAATCACTGCCCCACTCAATCCATGAAATCCTCTGTAATATAATCACTGCTTTACTCAACCCATGAAATGTCACCCCAAAACCGCTGCTTTATTCATTTACTGTAACCTGTGAACCCTGAAATTCCATGCACCCATCAGACTTTTATTTTATTCCCCAGATTTGGTAACACAACATATGGGGCAAATTAGTGTTTTGAATGTTCTTGACAGTGAAGATGCCAGCACACTTTCTAATTGCGCACTGTGCCTTTGTTTAAATTTGAGTGCATGCAGTGCAGAATTTGCAAAGGTAATTTACAACAACAGAGGCTTTATTGCATCTTTTTTTAATTTAAGAAGCCATCCCAGTGTGTATTTAATAAGTCTTGTTGCAAGATTCATACTTTATGTTTTTCAATATTTAAAGGAATAATAATAAAGATTTTGTCAGAGTTTAGAGGGGCATGCTCCTCTTATTTCAGCAGATTATTATTTTGAAGGCCCCTTGTGATTTGATGATTCTTGACACGTTCTTGAAAATAAATTTTGCGATCAAAATTTTTTTAATTGTCCTGCTGCTAATTTTTGGCTCTTTTGGCTAATGAGTTTGGATCATAGGCTCATAACAAAAAAGTCAGCACATCATCTTTTTAAATACTACAAAGATTTTACAATGCCTTAGTTTTGTTTGTGTGCTCCCATAGCTCTGTGCTCTCATTTCTTTCTTTCACAGTGTCTAGCTAGAGTCGGGGCAGTGGAGCTGCTCACCCAAATAATTATAAATGAAGAATACCTTTCAAATGGAGCAAAGCAGGTCAGTATATTAATAAGTTAAGCTAATAAAAAGATATTATAGATCTCTAACAGTCTATATTTTTTCTGGGCTTTTCAGTTATTGAAATAAAGAAAATGGATGATTTTTTTTTTATCCCCAATGTAAGATTTCCTCGAGTATGATTTTTTTAAAATTACAAATATGAAAAAGTAAATAAATCCCTCTTTTGAGCTAATAAAGCAAAGGTACCCGTAACTTAATTCTGTGTGTGCAGTCGCTTGATCTCAAACAAAAAAATAGAGTACCTAAAAGACAGATCACCCAACATTCTGCTAGTGTTATGACAACAATCCTAATTGTTTAAATCTGCATGAGAATTATCTGCAACCTTATCTTTAGATTTCTCTTAAAAAATGGAACAATGATGACATATGTTGCACAAAGTTTGCAGCGCCAGTTGACCTACATGTTGTCTTTCTTTTCAGGTAATAGTCTCCCTTATCAGGAATTCGGTTGATGTTCTAAACAACATAGCAAGATACGAACCAAACAAAACTTGCTTTCAGCAGCAAAATACAGCAAAGGTGATGTGTAGAACTGTTTGATGGCGGAGACATGCTGATCAATTAATCAGTTGTAGAATGTAAAATTAATATCTTATGAAGAAAAGACATTTTGCTGCATTAGAGTAACTATGACCTTATAATCAGCTTTAATCATAATAAATTTTATGCTTAAGGCTGGAGTAAAATATATTTGAGAGAATCAGATAAATGTAGAAATAAATCAGGGAGAATATTATGCGTTTCTAATTTAATTTGTAGGGGCTAGGTTATATTTGATAACGTAATTGAATTTATGCACAATAGTTCTCACCACCAATCCCTCCCCCTTGTTTTAAGGCCCTTGAACACATCTTAAAATGGAACAACGGCTGCCTTGAGGTGCGTGCAATGCTGACCCTAGCCCTTGTCATGGATGATGATCAGCTGCTGGCCCTGACAGATGACAATGGTGAGTCAGTTTTGTGTATGACACAGCAGGTTGGTGATTATGTAATGTAAGTAATAACTGACGGCATGGCTCTTGATAAAGAAACAGCTTAATTAACGCGACCTGGTTAATTTTTTCTTAACAACCAAACAGTGCGCTGTTCTTAGTAAAATTGATAAGTTAGTGATGGATGAGTAAATGATGGTTACATGTGGATTTTGAGAAAGAGAGAGACAATCAGAGCATTGTTTTCACACACTTATTTTAACAGACATCATCAAGACGATAGTTGATTGGTTGAACAAGGCATGTGACAACAAGGAGGGGAGGTCACATGATGGGTTTTCTCCATGTGAAATTGCTGAGAGTCTCACAAAACTGGCTGCCAATGATTTCAATAAGGCAAAGGTAGCAGCAGTATTGTTCTCCTTTGTTTTAGGCATGGATTAAGTGTTTGCATTTACATCTTCTACAAATTATTATTTGTTAAGTATTTTTTTTATTATATTTTTGTAAACAAAAAAACATGTCAATGTCTATTACATTAAAAAAATAATTAATAAAATATTGTTAAAATCTAATTTAAGCCTCACACTATTAATGTAGGCAATTTAAATATGCTTTAAAAAATAAATTATATGGACATGAATTGACATTGTTTGCAGATAATAATGGCAGGTGGATTGCAGGCACTGACCAAAATGCTTTGTCACAGTGACCCCAGTGAACAGATTTACTCTGCTGTATGTGTCAAGACAATAGCCCAGGATGTCCACCTGAGGCCCAGCATTGTAAAAGTCACAGAGTTGCTTGTTGCTCTCTTGGAGTTAGGAAAAAGCAGCAATGAGGATGTTCTAATTCAAGGGCTGTGTACTCTCCTGGTGCTAGCTGACCAGAGTTACCTTAAAAGTGGTAAGTTGATTCTTTTATTCAAGAAAGTAGTTAAACTTTTGTGTGTCACAGCTGAAAAAAGTATTTTAAACAAAGTCAAAATTTCAAAGCTCTGAGTTGTAAGTAAATGAGTTAAAATTATCTTACAAAATCTTAATGCCTTTATAAATATGTGCTGTACACTATTATTATATCATAGAATAAAGTATGTGAGTTATCCAACATAAAGAAAATAATACAAGTTTCATATATATTTCTGTAGCCGTGTGGTGGCATGGCTTACAGTTTTAAAATACACAAACAATGAAATGCAGGTCTGAGGACTATAGCTTTTTAAATGTTAGGTACAATCCGTTGACTGTAAAATCTCTCACACGTCAGCAAACTCCAAGTATCTGTTCTCACACACAATGTCAATGTACACACTCAGTAACACAGCTGACAACTCGATCACAGCTCAGAAAGTACAAGGCCTGGGTTTAAATTCCACCTGCCTTATGTAGTCAAAATGATGTCCACGTCATGAGCTGTTTACGAGTCCCCCCTAGGGACAGGCATACCCAGCTCAGTGATTGTGAAAAACCTGAAAAAAGGAACGCAACATAACAACGAACGTGTCGGCAGGAAGCCTTCAGTGAATGTGAACACACCTGGCGTAAAAAATCGTGTCACAGGAACATGCTTCTTTGCCCCATAGGTCGCATACTGCCACATAGATGGCACCGTGCCAGATATAAAAATGTTACATAAATACAGTTACAAAAGTGGCACATTGTCACATTTAGTATTAAATATTAAAAATATATACATATAATTCAATATAACAACAAAACAGTTACAATGATATTTTCCCATGGTTAATTCTTGAACTTGACACCAACCATCTGTTGATTTTTATTTTTAATTTCATCTCTATTGTATTTAGTTCTTCTGTTTTCCAAAGAAGGCTTGTTTGGTTTGAATTGTTCGTTGTGCTCTTTGGTTGTTTGTTTCTCTCAGTCTTTCACAAACTGTGTGCTTCATATTTCCTGAAGAAACATTTTCCAGTTTTGTCAATTGATATAAAGTATATTTTCTTCACTGTATTTGATAGGATGTTCCAGTTTTGTCAGTTGATATAAAGTATATTTTCTTCACTGTATTTAATGGAATGTTTCAGAGCAAGAAAGGACATCAACCCCAGCAGCCACCACATCACCTCCAGAACCTGTTACAACACATCAACAGCAAAGGTTGTCATCATCTTCCCAAAGTTTGGCCACTCCCCAACAACAAAGCACACCTCCCCGTCAAGAAGCTCCCTTTTGCTCTCCCCCACAAGATAGAACAGACTCCCCACTGCGGTACAGTTCACCTTCATCCCGTCCAGTTAGTAGGACATGTCCTGAGCAAAATCTGTCTGGTGCTGCCCTAACACCGGCTATTTCTTCTCAACAGGCAATCTCACCTCCCCAGCAGCTTTCTCGTCCCACTCAGTTAGTCTCATCCAGTAACCCTCCAAGCCAACTGACAACATTATCTCCCAAACCAGTTACAACACAGTCTCGCAAGCTATTTACAACACCACCTACCAACCCATTTACAACACCACCTACCAACCCATTTACAACACCACCTACCAACCCATTTACAACACCACCTACCAACCTAGTTAAAAGACCATTACCCAAGCCAGTTACAGCACCATCTCACAACCCAGTTACAACACCTTCTACCAACCCAGTTACAGCCCAATCTACCAACAAAGTTACAACACCACCTCCCAAACTAGTTACAACACTGTCTCCCACACAGGTTACATCACCATTTATCAACCCAGTTACAGAACAATCTACTAACTCAATTACACCACCTTGCAACCCAGTTACAGCACCATCTACCAACCTGGTTACAGCACCATCTACCAACCCAATTACAGCACCATCTACCAACCCAGTTGCAGCACCACCTCCCAACCCAGTTACACTGGCAACCCAAGTTGACATTCCAACTCACGGAGAACCAGCTGATGATCACATGGAGCAGCTTGTAGATCCCCAGTTTGTTGTCGACTATCTGACATTCAGAGGAGTTTTCTCTAGCGACGACCAAGTTGTTCAAGAGATTCTTGGAAATTCTAACCAGCAAGAGCAGAAGGAGGCCCTTCTGGATCATGTCCTCCAAAGAGATGGATATGACATATATTTAGAAGCCTTGGACTACAACCAAATTTATGTGGTTAATTTCAAAGCCATCATACAAGCATCAATGGTGGTGAGTACATGTATGTGCAATGAAATACACGTCTGTACAATGTAATACTTATCTGGGCAATGTAATACTTATCTGGGCAATGTAATACTTATCTGGGGAATGTAATACTTATCTGGGGAATGTAATACTTATCTGGGCAATGTAATACTTATCTGGGCAATGTAATACTTATCTGGGAAATGTAATACTTATCTGGGCTATGTAATACTTATCTGGGCAATGTAATACTTATCTGGGCAATGTAATACTTATCTGGGGAATGTAATACTTATCTGGGCAATGTAATACTTATCTGGGCAATGTAATACTTATCTGGGCAATGTAATACTTATCTGGGCAATGTAATAATTGGGCTCACAACAATTTTTGTTGACATGGCCTCATACAGAATGGTCAACTCAAAGATGGCAGATATACCAACATTTCCTGGAATCCTATTGAGGACATGTTATCAAATCTAACCTGGAAGTTAAAAGATAAAGAGACCTACACTCCCATGGAGGCTTATGGATATCAGTACAGTCTGATTTTGATTCAACGTTTATTCAGCTTTGATTTTTGTGTAAGGATTGGAAGCTACTTAACGTTACTTGGATTTACAGGTAAATGTGATCACGATTTTGAATAATTGTTAAAACATTGTTAAGATGACTTACCAGTTGAAAAGAGAAACATATTGGAGTGAGGACAGCAGTCTCCCATGCAATTCATGTGCTGATGGTGGTTAATTAAACAGCTAAGATGGATCCTAGGTTAAAATAATAAATTACGATACACATTTTGGCATGATAGGATAATTGAAACCATTTAAGAAACTATGCTTATATTTTCTTAATGAAAGCGTCAATGACTTAATTTCTCTTTTAAAATAATTTTTAAAAATTTGTTTAAGTGTTTACATTTTGTTTTTATTTATTTATTGGCATATATTTTCCACATATTTCATCAGATTTTGTCTTTTTCTTTGGTGTAGAGCCTGCTTTGAATGTTATATCGCGGATAAAACCTGAAGATGTTCTTAGTAGAAGCAATTCTTTTGCCCTCCTTTCTGCTACACTCAACTCCTGCATAGCTTACAGTGATGTCAGCAAAGAATTTGTCAAGGTGATCAAAGTACCAGCATCACAAATTAGCTTGTGATAAGAAATATGAGGAAATGTTTTTGTTACAATTCTATTTACAAAATTAATTATATAGTGTGGGGAGTGTGTGGTGTAATGCTTAGTGAGAAAAATGCTGATACTATTTTGTGCTGGAATGATAATGAGTTGTAAACAAATGTTTTCACATACAGTGTCTTGTAGATGCTGGATTTATTGAGACTCTGACTGGTCACATTACTGATGTATTCTTTCTAGATAACCTAAATGAAAAGGTAAATATTTTAAATTTGTCATAATAATATATCCATTTTTTGGGGGAATCCAGTTGACAATTAATTTAAAAATTCAATCAATTTATTAGTCAAGTTTGATCAAAGTTTCCGGTTGGCAAGTCTGTTGTGGCTTGTCGATTAGGAAGCGTCGCCCACCGACCCCCTCGGCGTGTGCCGGGAAACAGAACTACTGGGCACGCCTCGCGTGGGCAGACAAAGGGGCGTGCTCGGTACCTGCCGTACATAAAACAGCTCCCTCGGGCTGCCAGTTGTGATACTTCACAGCCGGAAAATTACGCAGAGCCAGGGTAAGGATCATGATTACAAGTTGCCGGTGACGGTTATGAGGCCAGAGACGAGGGTGGTAACCTCTGGCCGAGGATTCAAACAATGCAACCCTGAGAAAGCTGTCCCTAGGCAACCGTTTCGTCCCAGCTACAGTGCGAGCTAGTTGTGTTGTGGAAATCCACTTTGGAATCCCTCTTATAGGGCGTCCGACGCTTTCCCGGGATAGGTGGGGGAAGATATTAGGACGAAAATGTTCCATCCCAACTCCATAAGAAAGTCCATAGTGGGCACTATTTAAACGCATAGTGTCGGACCGACCGGGTGCCTACTGGTTGGGGCGGGGCCCTGGTCGAGCGCCCAGGCAGGGGACTTGGGTTAGGGGCCCGGGTGGGGGCCGTCCTGACGAAGGGGCCGTCCTGACGAGGGGGCATCCCCGACGTGCCGCTCTGCGGCCCGGTGCGTCGGGCCAGGGAGGGGTATTTTGAGGGGGGGGGGGGCATAAAGGGTGCAAACTCGCCCCGCTGACGCCATTTCTTGATGTAATATTAATCAACTTTTTTTATTTTTGACTTTAAATAATTTAAATTTAAGGGGGAGGGGGGGGTTTTTTGGGGGGGGGGGGGGGCATAAAGAGTGCAAACTCGCCCCGCTGACGCCATTTCTTGATGTAATATTAGTCAACTTTCTTTATTTTTGACTTTAAATAATTTAAATTTACCTCCCTTCTTTGAAAGAGAGTAATGGTACAAATAGCAAGAGATTAAAGAATAAATATTTATTTAATCAAAATTAAGGGAGATGATGAAATTTCTTAAAACTTGATACAATTCCTTTAGAATTATTGCCAGCAGCTAACACATAAATGGTAAAGTTGTGGGTCGTTACAATGTTTGGAAAAAATTTCAATAAGATTTTTTCATAACATGACTTAGTAATTTCTTCTCTTCCCAGAGTGTATTCGCCATTATGACAGATTTTTTAACCCTCTTGTACAACATTGCTTGTCATTTAGAAACAAAGCAATGCTTCAAGGACTACAAAACTACTGAGGTTTGTGAACTCAATTGCCTTTAAAATAATACTTCACTATAACAACTCTAATAAGCATTCACTTGTTTAAAAAAAACTTCAAACATTTTTTTTAATGGGTAGCCTATATAAAAAGATTTATGCTATTCATATTAATATTTCTAATATTCACCTGAAGTGATTTGAAGACTAATTTTAACATAAATCAACACATTCGGGGGGCAATTCCTTTCCCTCATAGTTGAAACTGAAATATATAGAAATTCATTGATTCCCCATTCCATCTGAATTTACCAGCGAGCTTTTCTGTGTTTGAAAAATTTAACTAATACAAGCATTGAGATAAAACTACATAGTTGGCAATTAGTGTTTTAAAAATTAATTTAAAAATGTCTCACATTATCATTGATGTAATTGTTCTGGTTTAAAATTGTTATATGAATTTTTAAAAAAAAAAAAGGTTTTTACTGTTTGTCTTTTTAATTAATATGTTGCACATTCTTGTGTACAATGCAATCAGACATACTATGTACAATGCAATCAGAACTAGTATATACAATGCAATCAGAACTAATATATGCAATGTAATCAGAATAATATGTACAAGCATTTCCATTTTTTTTTTTATAAATGAAAGAATCTTAATCTTCTTAATTTTATTACATTTTAAAAAAAAAAACATTCAATAACAAAATAATGAAACAATAAAGAGATTAACACACATTAAAGTTTGGTTGTATGCTTTTTGACTCCTCCTACACATGTCATGATAAAAACACACTTTTCATATTACCATTTAAAGAAGTAAGCAAATTTTTTTGTCATCACCAACTTATTTTCATCACATTTTTGTTCTTCTTTATTTAGGCCATTAGAGACTTCCCAGTTAAAAATGAAAAGATTGAGATAACAGTGATGTTGACATTACTGTACTCTTTAGATGAGCAGGAGCTGGATAATTTGCCAGATGTGTCTAGTAAGTGATAATTTGCCAGAAGTGTCCTTAAGTGATAATTTACAAGATATGTTTAGTAAGTGATAATTTGTAAGATGTGTATAGTAAGTTATAATTGGTAAGCAGTGTCTAGTAAGTGATAATTTGCCAGATGTGTCTAGTAAGTGATAACTTACCAGATATGTCTAATAAGTGATAATTTGCTAGATGTGTCTAGTAAGTGATAATTTGCCAAATGTGTCTAATAAGTGATAATTTGTCAGATGTGTCTAGTAATTGACATGTGTCATACATATTTTTCTTGCTATTTACAGGTACTCTTAATCTCATTCTACATGTCTAAATAACAATTTAAAAAAACTTCTAATTCAAATGATTTGAATTACGTTTTTTTTTTAAATACTGAAAATATATTTCAGATGTTATTGAGAATATAATTAAATATATGAGTGGAGCACTGGAAAATAAAACAACGCGGAGATACAGTGGAATGTCTTTGTGTGAACTAACGAAAGGACTTACTGTGTTGGCCATCAAGAGTTCAAACAGATCCAGGGTAAAAAAAAAGAATTTTTTTTAGGGCAACTGAAGTTTTATATTTGTTTTCTTTAAAGAGAATTGGAATTGAATTTTAAAAAATAAATTTATTATGTATCATCATATTATTTTTACAATGTTTATATTCTATAAATTATTAAAAATATTATGGATTGAACTTTTTCTGGATCAAATTTATCAGAAATTATTTAAATGAACTTTAATGAATTTTAATATAGCTCAGTTTATTAAATATCATGTTTCAAGTAATATCAAAAGACAGTGTGATACATTTTCTGTTGGTTTCGACAATAGATTGCATCAAAAGATGATGCTGTAGCAGTGTTGGCTAAAATGCTTCGACACAATGACCCAAGGGAGCACATCAGCTCCGCAAGGTGTCTTCAAGCCCTGGCTGTAGAGAGTACTGTACGTAAGAAACTCCTTGAATTTCCAGACCTGGTGGAAGCTATGGAAGAAGTACAGAAGAGTGGAAGTTTAAATGTGAGGAAAAGTGTTCAAGATGCGTTGGCTCTGTTGAGGGAGAGCACTGCAGGTAAGTTTATGCTTTTTATTTTAAGACGGTTGCAAGATTTTGTAACTAATGTAAATAATTTAGTTGTTTTTTTAATGGAATATTATATCCATATGTAACATTAAATTTTCCATTTTTTCCCTATCTGTTTAAAAAAAAAACCCAACAAAAAACCCATAAATATTTAATTTTTGTATCCTTTATTATCTCCACTAAATATGTACAGTTATGAAACAATTCTGAAGAAGAAGAAATAATTAGACATTTTTATTTTTAAAAAATAAGGATACATAAAAATTAGACATTTTTTGTCAATTTTTCAAAGACCCTTTGTTGGACAAAATAAATCTGGCCGCTCTTTTTTAAAACAGAAGATGACACCGATGAGACTCAAATGAAGAGGGTGAGAGTAAATGACTTGGAGCACAGTGAGGGACCAGTATCTATTGACGGTCAAGCTGTAAATATGGATGGCCACGCCATTGCTCTCTTACCTCAGGGCTCAAATCATGAACATTTAAATTTAACTGCACGGTAAGCTTATTTTTAACATTTCAAAAATCATAATAAATTTAAATATGTTCTTCATATCCTAGATATTTCATGGTCCACAGTAAAATCTGATTTATTTTTATGTACATTGTTATGACATTGATTGAAATGTATAAAAAATAATAATATTACGTATTCAAAAGGTTTGTGGGAACCTCTTTATAATGGTTTAATGAATATTTTCTGACTATTACAACCCTGCTTACATTTTAAGTTAATGTTTATATATAATTAACAATAATGAGTCATCCACAATTGCTTTAATTAAATAATTTCAGAGGTCTTACAACTGTTGTGCAACTTGCTAGGAGTGTAAATCAAATGCAGATCTCATCCCAACCTGAAACTAAAGGATCCCACTCATCCGCTGTTAAGTAAGAAACTCATCAAAGCATTTTAATTATTCAACATGCATGTGTATGTTTTAAAGGAAAATTAATTGAAATGATTCTGAATAACATATTTCTTATAGTGAAAATAAAGGACTCATTTCTGATTTTTTTTTAATAATTTAATTTATCAGGAAATCAGTAATAACATAATAATAAAACATTAATTCCACAATATTACAAAATGATTATTAATTTATTTTTCTTTGTTTTTATTTGATCAGTATCTTTGTTGTGAATCAGTCACATAGTGTGACAAAAAATGTCACGAAGATGGTCCAGGCAGAAGGTAGATATGTTTATTAACTTTGTCTAAGTAATCTAATTTGTCTCTTAATATTTCTGTATTATTCCACTATATATCTCTCTGCACATCTATATAATTGCATATATCATTAGAACAACTCCACTTTTTTAACAGTAATTTGAACAATTCAATTGAATCAGTTTGCTTGTGGTAAGGCACTGTACGTTTTGTATTATATTGATGGTGCAGTATTGCACAACTTTGTTTAGTATGTTGATCATTACAGGTTGTTTCCATGTTTTAAAACACATGTTCATTTTAAATGTTATCCTATTTATTTACGTTTCAGCTTAAATACTAATGTAGCCATATTAGTCATTTAAATAAAATCTGTTAAGATAAACTGATAAAGCTGAGCTGTTTTTTTAAAAAATTAAACGTCAAGAGACATTTTGTTTTAACATCTCATATTTGTATAGCAGTTTACATCATTTTGAGCAAGTTACAGTGTTAAAAACGCATTGTTAATGATGTTGGAAAAATATTTTTAGATATTAAAGATAAGTGTCAATATTTCATGCGGATATTGCATATTTATTTTTGTCCTTAGAAAAAAAATTCACTGCACGAGGGCAGTCAGAAAAATTGAGACCAGAAGATGAACAAACAATTAGAAGACATTGGCAACTCCTGATAGAACAATTGGATGCAACCCATGTCATCATGGAATTGATTTCATACGGAGTTTTTGATGTAGATGACAAAAGGGAAATAATGGACCATGCATCCCGCAAGAAAAGAACTGAAATAATGTTACATAAACTGTTGAATGCTGGACCAGGGCCAGCCTTTAAACGGTTTATAGATGTGTTAGACAAAGACCACGGCCACATAGTGGACAGGTTGAGAGAGTGGGTACATGAAAGAGGGGGGGTTTAAAGAATATATTTTTACACCAGCCAGCAGCTTCAGAAAAATCTTAAAAAGTACCTCCTATTTCAGGGAAGGAACAGAATGTACAAGCGAATGTATATAAGGCAACTATCTTTTGAGCCAGCAAGACATGGACAATGTACATCTCCACCAAGCTTCTGTGGTGTACAGAATCCCTGATACATAATTCCTACAACATCGTCCACATGTTCTTACAAAAAAAAAAAAAAGGACACACCAGATGGGCAGGACATGTTGCCAGAAAGCTAGGCAGTAGGCTGCTTAAACAAGTTGTTATCGGTAACATTCCGTTTGGCCAATGCTCAGATGGTTGGCAAAAAAAAAAAACACTTTCAAGATGGCCTTAAAGTGTAAATCATCGTCCTGAACTCATGGCAAACACATGCATTAGATTGCACAATCTAGTGAGTTAGACTCACTGTTGGAGCACACACTTCAGAGAGCAAATGAACCATTCATGCCCCATCATTGGAGCACAGACTTTAGAGAGCAAAAGAACAATTTATGCCCCACCGTTGGAGCACACACTTCAGAGAGCAAATATACTATTCATGCCCCAACGTTGTACCACATACATCAGAGAGCAATGTACCAGCATGCCCTATCATTGAAGCACACTTTTCAGAGAGCATATGAACCATTCATGCCACCCCATTGGAGCACACACTTCTTAGAGCAAATGTACCATTTATGCCCCATTGTTCGAAGAATGAACAATTCATGCTCCACCGTTGCAGCACACTCTTTAGAGAGAAAATGAACCATTCATGCCCCACCATAGGAGCACATACTTCAGAGAGCAAATGTACCATTTATGCCCCATTGTTGGAGCACATACTTCAGAGAGCAAATGTACCATTTATGCCCCATTGTTGGAGCACATACTTCGGAGAGCAAATGTACCATTTATGCCCCATTGTTGGAACACATACTTCGGAGAGCAAATGTACCATTTATGCCGCACCATTGGAACAAAGAACAATTCATGCCCCATTGTTGGAGCGCACACTTCAGAGAGCAAATGAACTTTTTATGCCCCACCGTTGGAGCACACTCTTCAGAGAGCAAATATACCATCATGCCCCACCGTCAGAGCTCACACTTCAGAGAGCAAATTAACTTTTTATGCCCCACCGTTGGAGCACACTCTTCAGAGAGAGAATTTACCATTCATGCCCCATCGTTTGAGCACACAGTTCAGAAAGTAAATGAACCATTCATGTCAAAACAAATCACACAAAAAGGAAAAGCAGCATTACCTTCAATACCTTAATATTTCAACTTCCAAGACACTCGTGTCCCAAGTGCGGTAAGCATTCCCGGCAAAAATTGGACTCGGAAGCCATCTTGGAAGTCACCATTTTAATATAGACCTAGTCATCTTCACAGGGGAAGGACAAACACCATAAACGTTTTTTGAATATTTTGCATTATTTTATGGACACTCCTGAGATTTGTATCAGTTTGATCAATTTGCCAAGTAACTATGAACTTTGCCCAAGAAATTCATGTAGCTTGGTCTATGTTTCCCGATGCATGCTGAAACATGAAAACCCGGCACTGAAGTCTAAACAGCGTCAAATTTATCATTGAAAACAATAGTGACTGTCATTCATTAGTAAATGTGCATCATCAGAACATGCATCTCAGTAGTTTTTGAACGCTGCTTTAGTTTTTTGGACTGCTTAATTAATAAAAAAATAAATCTTATGTGATTATTAATTAATTGTAATTTAAGAATCTAATTTAACTAACTCAGCTTTTGTAACATCCTAACAAGGGGAAAAAATGAGAAAAAATAACAATTTGTAATGCCCTTTGAAGTCTACACGTGTTTATCTGTTCATATGTTTGTGATTTGTGTGCTTTTAAAGATTACAACCAGTAATCATCCAATTTGGCAAGGGATTAAATATTTGATGGCCGGTGCAATGCCAACTAACTGGAAAATTTAAAAAAAATGGTGTCTTATCAAATGTGAGGAAAAAAAAATACATGTTTGTTATTAATATATATCAAATGTGGGGAAAAAACATAGTTTGTTATTAATATATATCAAATGTAGGGAAAAAAACACATGTTTGTTATTAATATATCAGATGTTTTTGTTTTGTATATTTCTTTCTGGTTTTTATTAAATCTGGTTTATTTTTAATAAGAAATTAAATTTCACTATATGATGACAAACAATGCTTTAAATAGAGGTGAATTTAAAAAAAAATGTAATGTTAAAAAATGTGTTAGTATTATTATACAATATTGTTTAAAGAAAATACATTAAATTATGTAGGCCTATTTATAAATACTATTTCTGGGATGGATGTATTTTGGTTAAAAAAAAAAAATAGTATGAGATCCTTGTTTGGGTTTTCATTTGGGGAGGGGAGGCTTAGGCATTTTCAAAACCCCCCCCCCCCCAACCTGAATTAATTTGCAGGTTTTATTTCAATTGCTATGTACTGTGGCGCCTCCAGTAATAAACAACTTAACAAGCCACCCAGTTTCAATTTTGCCCCCCCCCACAAAAAAAACCCCACCTGAAATGACACCCCTGATCATTTATTTTTTTTGCTGTTGTTTAAATGATGCAGGTGTGTGCCAATAATGTTATTTGAAAATTATTTTGTTTTGCAATGCAGCATTGGAACCATATTGGAAAATGCATCTTAAATACTTGCTTAAGTCTTTAAAGCGTTATTGTCTTTCACAATATATATAATGTATATTCAGCTAAAAAGTGTTCAATTAGTGGTTTAAATTTTGTAATTTGTAAAATATTTAGAAATAAAGCAAAAGTTTTTGACTCCTAGCAAAACTTGTAATTTTTGTGGCACAGAAATAATTCAGATGGCTAATTTTGAAATCGCTTTGAACAAAAAATCCATGACAACGTAATTAAATTAGTATTAATATTATTTACCCCATTTAACTTACTTACTCAGGGACCAGAGTTGTGTATACGATGCCACGCAAAGTTGCTAAAACGCTTGATCAAATGATCACCGCCGGGTTACATGGGCTTGCAGTGACAAAATCACATTATGAACAACGAGGTGTTAGTTTATGCCCTTGCTACAAGGCATCTGGCTACATTGGGCAACTCATCTTTCTCACGAGGGAGACAATATTATGTAGAATCAGTCATTCGTAGCCAGTGGTGCAAAGGAATGAGACATACAGAACCTGCAGTGCCAGAAAACGTGTCAAAGATCATCTCAAACTTCAGCTGGTATCAGCTTTCCTAGAAGAAAACACAATGGGTGCTAAAAAAGCTCTTGGGTGCTAGGAAAACGCTTCTGAGCTGTTGAGCACTTATAAGGATGGCTGGAGATGATGATGACTTCATCTGACCTTCTTATAAGGATGGTTGAAGATGGTGATGGCTTCATCTGACCTTCTTATAAGGATGGCTGAAGATGGTGATGACTTCATCTGACCTAAGTGTGTTAGAGCCTGCAAGTCCAGAACAGCACTTCATAGCAAACTCAAGGCACTCAAAAGTTTTCATGTCTAATAATTAATGGATACGAAGTTAAAGCCCATCAATTAATAACTCAATGATTTTAATATAATTTACTCTGCTGCTCAATTTACAGTTTATGAAAGTCTTTAGCATTCACCATTACACTTTTGATGGCGACATTAATAATGCTATGATGATAAATTATTTGTTTTGTATGCTATCTTTATTGTGTTCAAATTTTAATTTGCCGAACTTCAATTTTTTTAAAAGCAAATGAAAACCTTATGTGAATTGAATTGCTTGTAAAGTACTTTTTAAAAAAGTCCCAAATATATTTTTAATGAATATATTTTATCTTAAAATGTAAATTAGTATAATAAATATTTATCTTGATTCACTTTTGAGTTGTTTTTTTAAAACTAAGAGTTTGTTTATCTTTGACTGAAAACCAATTTTTGTTGCGTCTATGAAAGTATGGGCTCTAGCGCTAATGATGAGGATGATGATGACTATGAAAGTATTGAACATATTTTTGGGGGGTAAAACTTTTAAAGCTTTCAGTTTAGAGGTAAATGTTGAAAAAGAATAAATACTATACTTCACAAATCATGAAAAATTAACACATTATTAAAAGCATGAACAGCATTTTTTAAAAAAGCATTGTTTTCAGTTCCTTCTCCTCTGCCTCATGACTTGAGGTTTTGTTGACTGAGTGATTGTGAACATGGCTCTGGATGACAAGCAAAACAGAAACATGGTTTCAACAAAAAAATCATTATTTAAAAAAATATATAGGCCTATAATACTTTTGTAGGTACAGTTTTAGATATGTAACAAAGTGATTACATTTTATTGTATAACTAAGGTTAAGACAAGAGTCTGCTATAAAAAAAAACCCAGCAATAATGATCCCATTTAATTTGTGTTTTCATTATAGTTCTAATAATTATTTTGGGGTGTAGGCCTATATTCCAGCTTTTTGTGTCGTAACATGTTTTTATACATACACATGGCCTGGTATGCCCCATTTCAGCATGCAAAATAAGCTTAGCTTATTGTCTATAGCGAGTTTGGTGGGGACCCAAGCCTGCTTTTCTTGAGGATCTCTGCTGGTGTGCACCTCCAGACATCAATTTTTAAAAAAAGTTGCATTTATTACCTGACATTTGTAAGTGTTTGTTGTGTTCAGTGATAGAATGTTTGTGATGAAGTAGCTCTATGGATTCACATGTATGTAAGTCTAAGCAACAATAACTGCTAGAGCAAAAAAAGAGACTACTTTAAATAAAGCAGAAGATACACCTGGGTAATACTACTGCAACACTACTAAAATCTGAGCTAATTCTTAAAAACTCAACCGTATGAAAATGTTGGTCTTGAAAAACTTTCCCCAAAGGAAGTATTTATAATTCATATTGATTATGAACATTCAAGAATGCAGAATTTTAATGTGAACGTCATTTATTTCCTGTTTTCTTTCATTGAAATGATATAGGGCAAGCATGTGTTTGATCTAGATTTATTCTTATTATTAGGTGGTTTTTATATAGCACAGTACTAGGGCTAGGCTCAGTGCGCTTCACATAAAAATTATTAATTACAGAAACGTATACATTTCAAATAATAATTGTTGAAAAGCTTGACTTCACCCACTCAAGTACTATCTACCCCTATCTAGCCATGGGCAGTACCCAGCAGAATGGAGCGTTGTTTATCAGTCAGACGGAGGTGAGAATGAGTCGGTAAATACAGTTTGTAGAGATGGGTCTTGGGAGCTGTTTTGAAGGCTGTGATGGTCGTTATATTGCGGATGTGTAATGTGAGAGAATTCCATGGTTTTGGGGCACACAAAGAGAAAGAGCGTTCACCATATGTTCTAGTGCGTGTTCTGGGAACAGAAAGAATATGCATGTCTGCAGAGGAACGAAGCTTTTGAAGGGGTGAATAGACAGCAAGAAGTTCAGTAAGATAGGCAGGGCAGGAACCAGAGAAAAGTTGTGACAGGGAACAGAAAGCTAGTAATCAATGTATGCCTGTATGGGGAGCCAATGGAGTGAGTGAAGTGGTGGAGTGACGAGATAATGTTTCTTTGCCTGAATTCAGCATGGCAAAGATACAAAACACTTAGTGAAGATTCACCAGCGGAACCAAGGATTAAGGATACTTTATTGTCAATTATATAAAAGAAAATGTTTTTTCCAATGGTTCTCTATGCTTAGTTGGCATAAAAAGGAAAAATTCTTTGGATAGTTCATTTAGCACTGTCTAATGTGAAAGATGACATAAAATTTTACATCACTGATGATGTGATATGAGAATGTCACAAATTCTCTGTCAACTTCTTTGCTATATGACCATAATCTTCTGTAAAAAATTATTTAATTCATTAAAAATAACAGCAAAAAAATGAGAGTGAGAACAGATATTGTTCTCAGTTCTTTCTCATATGCCTCATGACTTGAAGTTTTGTTGATTAAATGATTGTGAACATGGCTCTGAATGACCAGCAATACAGATAAATCATTGCAACAACAAAATCGTTATTACAAAAAAAAACCATTATAATGCTTAAGTAGGTACAGTTTTAAATGTATAACAAATAATTATTATGTTAAAAAATTCATTCAATTTTAACTTGATAACCACTAAGACATCAAACAAACTATATTGAAAAACAACAAAAAGACATTAAATATGTTGAAATCTTAAAAAGTCCCATGCATTTTTATAATTTTCTCATACTCTTATATAAGAAATGTAGTCTGTGGTATAACTAAACAAACATGAATTATCTAAATAGAAACCACTTGAAAGAACATAGACTTAAGCTTAACTGAGTTGGCCTCATTAATAAGACACAATTGCCTGCAATTTATTTTAATAACAAATTTACAACTCGATGCTGAAATTGTTTAACAGTTTCAACATTTTATTGTATAACTGAGGTTAAGACATTAAGAGTTTGCAATAAAAAAAACCAAGCTGTAATGATCCCATTTGTGTTCCCATTATAGTTGTCTTAATTATTTAAGGGTAGGCGTACATTCCAGCCTTTTGTGCTGTAACATGTTTTTATACACATATAATCTGTCGCATTTTAGCGTGCAAAATAAGCTAGGTTATCGTCTATATGGCGTTTGGTGGGGACACTTTTGTCCTGATAGGATTTGAACCATCGATTTAAATTATCAAATGGCATTTATTTTTTATTACATTTACATTTGTAACCGTTTGTTTAGTTCAGTGATATTTTACAAACATATAAGACTTATACTTAGTATAAGCAACAATAACTGGCAGAGTAAAAAAAAAAGAAAAAAAAATGACTTCTTTAAAGCAGAAGATACACATGGGTCATAGCAATGCTATTGCAACACTAGTAAGTTTTTGGCTAATACATAAAATGTCAACTGTATGAAAATGTTGGTCTTGAAAAACTTTTCCAAAGTAAGTATTTATAATCTCTATTGATTATGAACATGTTGATTATGAACACATTTATTATGGACATTCAGGAATGTAGGATTTTAATGCGAAAGTCATTTATTTCCATTTTCCTTTCATTAAAATGATATGTGTTTGATCTAAATTTGGTGAAGTCGGCATGGTGAATACACAAAACATTGAGTGAATTTTCAGCAGGGGAACAAAGTATTAAGGATACTTTATTGTTAATTATAAATGAAAATGTTTTTTCCAGTGGTTCTCTATGCTTAGTTGGCGCAAAAAGGAAACTTGTTTCAATAGTTAAATTCTCACTGTCTAACCTTTAAAGGGACAAAAAAGTTTTACATCACTGATGATGTTATATGAGAATGTCACAAAGTCTCTGTCAACTTCTTTGCTATATGACTGTGATCTGCCTCCAAAACAGTTATAAATGTTTCAAAAGCTGGACCCGGGCCTGCATTTAAGAGTTTCTTTAAAAGGATTTCAGTTCGTTTCTGGCGAGAGGCAGGCTCAATTATTTCCCTCTTGTCATTCAAGTCAAAAATTTTCTTTGCGAACATGGAGTCAACAATGTGTGTTGCATCTAATTCCTCTAGCAAGTATTCCCAATTTTTTAGAACTTTGTCTTCATCCTCAGGTTTGATCTTCTCTGATTTTCCCTTAGCAGTAAATTTTTCTGAAGTTAAAAAATAAAATTGAATCAGCACATATGTTGAATTGGTTGCATTTCTTAAATGTATAAAAACAGGCATTACGGCACAGTGATAGAATTTACTGTAGTGGCTTGTGAACTCTTTAAGCACTTTTTGATGTGTGCCTTCTATATTTATAAAATTAAGCTATAAACTCCGGAGCAGTGAAAGCACTACCCCATGCATAACCCCATGATTTTTAAAAATGTAATTTTTAAATAGTTTTATTGAAAGAGATACATACTTTAAATTGTAATAGCTTTGGACAAAATAAACAATACAACTTTTTTTAATTTTAAAATTTGTAATTGATCTAAAATAATTTTTTTCTAAATGTTTGGAGTCATAAACTCATGGCAACTGCCACAAGCTAAGAATGTAGAAAGCCTTACAGCGGAAACATTATTATTAATTAAACTAAAAGAAAGATAAATTGTAGAAAGAAAAAATAAGCTCCATGAAAAACAAAGATGTTATTTTAAAGCCAACTTCAAAACATCAAAGATATTGCTAGGTAGTTTATAAAACTATATATATGCATTTATAGACTCAAAATAAGCTTCATTGCAAACGAAAATATTCTTTAAAAGTTTTGTTTCATTGAATTCTGACTTAAAGGATGAAAAAACCTACCTTCTTGTTTAACAGCATTCTTAATCTTATTGTACTGGACATTAACAAAGTAGTTCGTAATTAGTGGGCTAAGTGGGGAATAAGAATTGAATCATGTTAGTTATTAATTGCCCTAACTGCTGCAATTAAGAAAACATAAAAAAAAATTGAAAAAGACTAAACTTTTTAAAAAAAAGTTATTAAACTGTTTGTATTGTTACTGAATTGTCATAGTAAGAGAATGATATATCTTGTCTTTTGTTTTAAAGTCTAATTGTTTCACATGTCTTGTAACAATAAATATGCTCAGAATTAAAAACTACAAAATGTATACATTTTGTGCCTTTCAAAGAACAACAGATAGTTGAATACAACACACTATGGCACAAGGCGAAATATATGAGATGAGATTTTATTTTTCATACATGATTTGACATTTTTAAGCTAGCTTGAATTTTTTTAAAAAAAGGAAAATGTTGAAAATGAAACAATTAATGATTTAAGGACGGCAAAATATTACACACAAATTTATCAATTATTCAAACTACTTACACTTGAGTTATATGTGACAGTCCTGTTTCTGGTGTCAACAAGTCTTGATTCTGAAGGAGCATTCTATTAAGAAAAAGGACAATTTTTAAATCAAGTAACATTTTTACATGCAATGTCTTCATCCTGTTCTTTTTTAAACTTCCTTTGATAATATCCGTAGACCTAAATCAAAAAGGAAAAATTTCTCTGCAAGGCCCTTAATGCTTTTTTTTAAAAAATCACATAACAGGTGAAAAAAATAATTAAATAATCAACATTCAAAAATGTACAGTAAGTCCATGATAATTTTGAAGAGAGGGGGAGATAAGAAGAAGATTACAGGGCATAACCCCAATTTTAAAGAAGAGTATGAAGCCAGTGACCATTGTTTATGGTACCTGCCCATTTTCCCTAATACTTATAAAATATGATTTTTATTAGGATAAAATATAATCCAAAGAAAAACAGTTCCCAGTAAAATATCATTTAGGTATAATTTTAATGAAAGACATAATTCATGCGATGGTTGAAATTTGAAAATCCTTGTTAGCAGGCTTCAGATTATTGGTTGAGTTTCCATCATGCTAAACTCTTCGGAGTACTGACTGAGTTTCCATCACGCCAAACTCACGTCACTGTCAATTTTAAATGTGTTGTTTTCAAATTAAAAAAAAGTATTGAAAAAATCCACTCTCACAGAGATTTGTAAGGAACAATGATGAGAGTTGACTATTTCAGCAAGGAACACAAATAGAACCCCTTAACTATAAAAATAAAATGGGGAGTAAAAAAATAACCTTTTAAATAGTATCTTTTAATCTAGAATGACTTACTTAAGTTCTGGATTAACACATTTTTGATGGTGATAAGCTGTTGGGCAGACCACTGCATTCGCTACACCAGAAGCTTGTACATCTACACTTATGGGACCTTCACTAAACTCTGTATTGTGAAAAAGCACACGTTTCTCTTTTTCCTCACCTGTGAGACATTCATGATACTTTAATTATTTATGCATAAATTATTTTCGTAGTCAGTAAATGTAGTAGACATTTTAGGCATTCAAAAATTCTTTCAATAAACAATTGCTTCTGTTCTAACATTTATTTATAAAATTTGAACAGACAATGTCAAGACATATAAGATTGTATTTGTTTTGCAAGAAACTCACTGTTATTTTTGTCCTTCTAGATTAAAAAAATATGAATTTGAAACGTGTCAAATAATAATAAATAAGCACAAACCTGTGTCATCACTCATACAAAAGTGTATGGGCTTTAGGGCTTCCTCAACATATTTCCTCACACTGATGCTTGAATTTCTCATCAGCCCTTCCATAGCTGATAATATCTGTGGAAATTCTTTAAGTTTCATCCTTATATCTGCCTCCGACATTAGGGCCCTAAGGCAGATGGATGAACTTATATGCTCTTTGGGATCTGTGTGATGAAGCATCTTGCACAATGCTGACAGAACTTCAACTTTATGAGTCATCTGTTTATTGTTAATGACAATAGTAACATTTTTCTTAAGGGTTGTATATTGAAAGTGTGATAGATATTACAGCTTGAATACTAAAAGTGCATACGCGAAAAAAATTGTAATGATTAAGTTGAGTTTGTATTCTTTTCATCTAAATTCATCCAAGCTGTTTTTGTTAATATTTATAATATATGTCACAAACTAAATATAAAGTAGATCCTAGTCAATGAACTTTTTAAATAATATCTGCTAATAAAGACCAAAAACTGTTTTCAATTTTTAGAAATTAAATATTCACTATCTGAAAGTATTTTAATAAGTCAAGCCAAATAAGATTTTTTTTTCAAAAGCTTAGTTAGTTAAGTGAACTAAATTATTTAATGAAAAAAAGAAATTATTTGTATAATAATTTTTTTTGTGAACCTTAAGAAAAATATTTACATTTATTTTGTGAAACTTTAGTGCTAGCTTGCTGATCCCATTGGTCAGTTCACATAGAGATATCCCATGGAAACTTCTGGTGTCTTTGTTTTCTATCGCTCTGTGCATATATTTGATCATACTCTCAATGGCTTCTGATTGGAATGATAAATTATCATAATATAGCACTTGAAAGCAGCATTTAATATTTCAACTATCTTACATTTTTGTAATAGATCAGGTAAGCCCTCCCCCCAATCCCCTGTTGATATTTAATTAAAGATGATCTTTATATATTTTTTTGTTACTGCCTAAACCCAAAATTTAATTAATTTCTAAGACTTTTAGTTAATTTTATCCTAATTTCCTACAAAGAAAATTTCTGTTTTTAAAATATTTCCAACTTATATTATTTGTTTACCCAGTGTCTTATCCTTGTTTTGTACTTACTTGTTTCATCTGGCAATTTGTTGAATTCCTTTTCATCCAAAGTGTTGAGGAGAATCAGAATCACAATAATTTCCACATTCTCATTATTCCTTATTGGTAACCTCTTCACATGCTGCAAAATAAGAGTTAATAGCAATACCACACTATTTTAAATAGACAGTGTATTAGGGCGGTTACAATCATGTCCTACCAAGTGATTAGGGTGGTCACAATCATGTCCTACCAAGTGATTAGGGTGGTCAAAATTGTGTGCTACCAAGTGAACTTACGAAATGGTACATTTAATTTATGTCAAATTAACACTATGTTTAATTAATTTTTTTTTCAAACAGCACAATGTAATATTTACATAAATTTTAATCTCTGATAAGAACATTTGAAGCTGCTTAATAATAACAGTAGTTTTTATTAGTTCTTAACAAGCTTTTAAATTATTGTTCAACTTTGGACCATCATTAGCTTCATTTGAGTTGAAAAATAAGTTTTACCTAAATAAAACAGGTACAAATATTATAAAATAAATATTCATGCAGCTGTTACCAACCTCTGAAGTTTTTGAATCTTTGAAATGTTGTTTATCCTCACAGTGATATGCCATGTTTTTAATCAATCTCAGAAAATCTGTCATCATATTTTCCATGTACTGCAGGATGAAGTTTCAAAACATTTCAAGGTAAATTAAGTAAAAGGCTACAGCAGTGTTTTTTTGTTGTTGCTTATTTGCTTGTAACATTCCTTACTCATATTTGGTCATAATCTAACAATTTATTCAGCTTCTGTCAACTGTGTAATACTAAATACAATTCAACTTTTGAACGTTACATTGAAGCTATTGATACCCTGTTTACTGTAATCAGCTAGAGAAAGATAATTCTAAGTCATGCAAAATAAAATAAATTCCTATTACCTTCTCAGTCAAGTTGTTAATAATGCAGCTCTCAGTGATATGTGCTGTGAGGGTATCAACCATGCCATTATGAGCAAGCGACTGAAAGGTGATTTGTTTTTTGTATATTCATTAATTTGACAATGTTCGCCAACCATACAACAACAATGCACATCTAAACTTACAACAGCTATGTTCATCTAACATACAACAACATTGTTGATCTAACATAAAGCAAAAATGTTCATCTAACATACAGCAAAAATGTTCATCTAACATACAACAACAATGTTTGCAAACTATACATGTTGTGTTTTGAGCTTGCAAAGTAAATTAATAATACACAATTTGATTTCTGCCTAAACTTAATTAAGGCAAGAACAGCGTTGAGAGGCAGAATACTCATCAATCATACGAACGATCTGCATGATAGATTCCCCATTCAAATAAATTTTTTAATCTTTTTATTAAGTTCCTTTCAGTTTTTGGATGCAAAAATAAAAGCATACATTAAATATACAAAACACAATTTGAACTAAAGATGAACAGAGCACTTGCCAAAGCAAATAGTCTACTGACGCCACTGTAAATAATGCATATGCAGAGGGTAATTCCTGAAAGTGCCAATTCATTACTTCTCTCAAATACTTGATGAGGTTTAATTTTCCTCAAAATGCTTACAGCAAGCCCTGAATAAAATGAACATGCATAATGTGTTTAACAAAGATTACAATACTTTATTATGTCATGTTGCTTTGTGTGAATAGAACATTAGGCCTACATATATATATAATATATATAAAACAATTTTCAGCTTTCTTGGCTAAGCAGAAATTTTGTATATACTCTTACTGGATCATAGGGGCATTTTGTAAATATTATAGTAAGCACTAAATGGTATCGAGAATTTATATTGCAAAGCAAGGAATAGTTAGACATTTATTTTTATTTTAGTTCCAAGAAACACCAATATGGAATCTAATATTTTAATTCTCAGAAACACCAATATCTAATATTTGATTATTTCATACTTGGTATAAAATAATAACTAGAAATATGATAATATGTTTTGGACCCACTCATAAATTTTAGATCCAGAACTGTCCACATGTTAAATATTTAAATTAGTGCCCAGTCCAAGCTGTGTCGTAAACTCTTGATAGCTAAGATATGCACAGCCAACAGAAATTTTTACCCTTAATATGTTTTAGTCACAAAATTACACAAGTTTAAATTCAACTAAAGACTTCTTTTTTTAAAAAAGATGATTTTACTCAAATTTATAAAGAAAAAAAAAAAAATTTTACTCCTTACTTGCATATTCAAGCTCAGATAAGTAATCTCCAATCTTTTCAACAATCTCTGTGCTGAACATTCTTCCTATAACATACAAACTGTACTGGTAACCAAATGCCACTTCATTACTGGAGTTTTCAGTGGGGTCTGTAAGGAACTTGCAAAAAAGAGAGGATACCAAACCTTCCACCTGCTCCCATGTCAAGCTACTGTAAGCTTGGTCTCTTTGGATGTTTAGGGTACTCTGTTAAAAAGAGTAAAATTATTTTCGCGAGTATGGGCATCTATCTAAATGAAATAGCATTGAGTTTATTTTAATTTTTTGCTGTTTTCAATTGCTCTTTCTTTAGATGCAGTCTGTTCAATTATGGTACTCTACAAAAAATCAATGATTTATATTTAGGAAAATAGGACATTTTGCATAGGATATTTTTACCTACCAATAACACGGTTTTTGCAAATTTAGTCTGTTTTAAGATTCAGCTCATTAAATGAACAATATGTAACAAGGAGTGAAAACCAGTATACAAAGAAAAACGTTGCCAAAGCGATTGATATTAGAAATATTCAATTTAATTATACTATTAAGTTCTTATAAAAATATAAAATCAAAAATACAGGAAAAAAAACCTGAACTATATTAGCTTACAGCACAGCTAGTGAAAAAAGTGTAATCCCAAGAGATACAAATAATATTATACACATCCGCAAAGATTGAAATCTTGTGAGGCTCCTATTAAGTCTGGTGAGATCCTATTAAGTCTCAAAAATATCGTTAATATGTCTCATGTCTAGCAAATCGTGCAAAGCTCTTTCACTTCTGGCCGGGAAAGCTTCTGGTTATTTATAACCTTCTAGAAAAGAAATACTAGAAATGGAATCACCTTAGAGCATTCTCTACATTCCATTTAGAATTTTTTAGATTGTAAACAACCTTTTCCTAACAAGGGGAAGGGTGGGCAGTGGTAGAGTGCTACACATTTAATTGGTGGCATCAATGTCAACAAAAAAAAAGGAGGGTGGGGGGAGATAAGTGCTGACACTACAACTCCATGTCGAAGCAAATAAGGTCACACACAAGCTTAGTTATACACAGTTATAAAAATGATCTTTAATTATGAAGCTTTTATAGATTTCTTGAGCTTGAGCCATCATGTTCAATTATTTAATTATATTTACCTCTAATGATAATACACCTGTAATGATGTCTTGAAATTGTTCACTGTATACATGATAATGTGCTAGAGCTTCATCTAATGCCTCACATTCTGAGTGTAGTACATGATTCAGAAGAGCCTCGTTTCTGTCCCGTTGATTTGAAATTTCCAAGAGTTGTTTAAAATCTGGGTCATCAGCATCAATCTTTCCTCTAAATGTCATGTAGTCCACTAAAAAGTGAGCATTAATTATGTCCTCCGAACTATCATCTTGGATTTCAGGTACTTCATTCTCAGAAATTGAAATAGTTTCAGATGATGCAAATATAGCGTCAATGTCATGCTGATAATTTGTGTTTGACTGAGGTACACTAGCATTCTGTTGACTAGGGAGAATACTTAATGAGTGGGGTGTAACACTTGAAACTGGCACTAAGTGTTCACTGAATTGTTGGGGGTAAACATTACTGTCCAAGCATTGATTAGGTTCATTATTTTGTAGTTGGGGCAGAACATTATTGTTCATGTGTAGAAGGGGTGTGTTCATTTGAAGAGGAGACACAAGTAATGTTTCTGATTGTTTACTGGCTACATTGATTTGTAAGAGGGGCTCTGTACAATGATCCAACTGTTTGAGGTCTGTCTGGTGTTGTCCCTGACAGACTGTCTGATGATTCAGTCCGTCACATTGATCCAGCAGTTTGACTGGTGGATGCCATGCTGTTTTTGTCATCGTATCCTCTGAACAAAACAACATGCTGCTATTTTCCTGCAGTAGTGTGACACACTGATCAATAGAATTATTGAGGTTGTGTCTCAGAATGTCTGGATGATTGTATTGCATTTGCTGCTGCTGAAGTACAAGTGTGTCTGGTGGATAAACTGAACTACAAAGCTGGGTTGGTGTAAGATTGTCTGAAGGCATTGCAGTTACTGGCTGAGGCATTACCATATTTTCAATAGGTTTTAAAATTTCCTGCTGCCTCTGAGTTCTCTTTTGTTGCAATGTTTTTTCTGATAACAGATTTAAAAAAAAAATTATAAAGAATAAATTTCACCAGAATCCCTTTTAAAAGTAATTTTTCATTGCCCCTGTTTTATTTCTGTAAGCTAAATGTCAATAAGAACATCCAATCCCTTTGTTCTGAGAACATCATACAATTTATTTTCATCACATTTCTACAGAGCCCATTTCCAGATTTAAATTTTTTTAAAATTTAGATAAGTGTCATTAAAAAGTGTCTTTATTTAATCATTTTTTGTTTTTATTTTCTATCATTATTATTTATATCCTAAATACATATCTTTTAAAAAGGAACTGATAAAAGATATCTGTCATTTAAGAAAATAAAATTCATAAAAAATTCTGTAATTTTACCCTTGATCCTCGCTTGCTCCTGACTTTTATCACACAAAACAACCAGAGTTGACAAGCCTTGGCAGAAAACATGTTTATGTTGGCTGTATCTGAAGCTAAGCAGAGCCTTAGTAAGGTCTCTGATATGTAAGATGTTTAACCTTAGTGCTGCATCCAGCGCTATTGTTTTCACACATTCAGCTGAAGTAATTTTTTCCATAGGATCATTGTGAGACAGCATTTTGGTCAATGCAATCAGCCCACCTCTCATTATTATCTGTTAAAAAAAACATATTTACTTACAAAGTTTATTTAAAAAGAATATATATTTTAAAATGTTCAAATCCAAATATAATTGGAGTATATTTTGTAAAAGTGCCCACTGAACAGATTCATGATTTTAAAAAATCTAATGTCACGCACTTAAAAAAGATTAGAACATATGACATTTAGAATCTTAATGAATTGGGTAAAGTTAAAATATTTTGTATTCTTTACCTAAGAATTTTTTACTTGAAAACTTTAAATTTGTCTGTTTTTTTTAAAAATATCTCTATCTTATTTATTACAATTTTTGATAGTTCATTCTGAATGGCTTCACTATTTCATAAAATTCTATAAATGGAATATAAGTTAATTCTGCAAAACTATTAAATAAGTAAAAACCACACAGTTTTAGAAAAAACTGTGACTCATTTATTTGTTCCTGTACTTTCTGAGGGCATTTTTAAAAATGTATATACGCATAGATATCTAAGTATTTGCTAAGGACAGCTTTTCTAAAATCCTTCATAAATGATTTAAACATTGTTTAACCGTGTAGAGTTGCGAAGGGTTTATAACCTTTGACTTGTTAAAGTGGTTTGTTGCAAGCTTTGTGAGACCCTCTGCCAGTTCAGATGGAGAAAATCCTTCATGTGTTCTATCCTGATTGCAACAAGCAAGGTTAATCCATCTCACAATTGTCTTGATGACATCTTCATTATAAATGAATACAGTTTTAAATGCATGTTTAACATGTTTAGGCCTGTATTGTTTTTCCAATTTTGTAGATTTGGCATTTAATGGAATTTAAAATGATTAAAAACAAAATATGACTGAATGACATAAACTAGCATACAGTTGGAATAAGAAATATGGCTAGAAGAATAGACTAGCATTGTACATTTGAAGCCAGATGGTTTGAACAAACTGAACTTGAAATAATTAAATCACAATACTTGATAACTAGCAAAATGGCTAAATGTCTTATAAATTGATAAAATAAATTATTGTACAAAATTTTTGTAAAAAAATTGTTGAATTGCTAAATTATTTTTTCTGGTGACAGGTGCCTTATAAACTGAATTTCCACAAGCAAAATAAAATATTATATACCAAAAGTATGAACCAGTAGGTTCTACAGAAAACATGCTATCTAATATATATGTAGCCTACCTGTGTCGTCTGTAAGGTGTAACAGCTCATCTTCGTCCAGCACTAATGCCAGTGTCAACAATGCTCTAACCTCAAGACTTCTTTTATTCCAGTTCAACAAATTTTTGAGGGCCTACATTTAAATACAAATATAATTTTTTTAACTTACTAAGTTATTATTTTTATTTAATAAAAATATCCAAGTTCAATAAGTGAAACTTCAATTTTTAAATCTACATTTTTATTTTTATTTCAATGATGGGTATGTAAACTGAATGAAGACACTTTCTCTTAACCAATTTAAAAATTTTATAAATTTAAATGTCACAGTATAATAAAATAAAAACCACTTTTAATGTGATGATGACATAACTACGACTACGCAAACTCACATTAGCAGTGTTGTTTTCCACAAAGCATTGCTTTGTTGGTACATGCCTGGCAATGTTATTCAGGATATCAACTGTATTTCTTAAAAGTGAGTAAATTGCCTATGAAGATATTAATTAAATTTAAATTTGTTTAAAAATCACCACTTTATAATTATTTTTGAGAGATAATCAATGCTATGACTATGATAGCCTACATATTTGAACTTTTTATATATTTAAGTCCATCAATGTAAAATTAAAATTTTAAATTAGTTAATTAAGCCTGCTTAAGAACACTTTAAAATCAATCAGAATCAATATGGCCAGTTCAATGGTTATATAATAATGATAAAAAGTAACAATAAAATAAGAAGAGTGGGCAAAATTTTAACAAAAAATTCTAAGACAAAGTTTACAAAAAAAATTTAAAATTCTAACATAAAATTAATGTATTATTGTGTATTAATAATTGATTTAAATTTCAACAGCAATTGCATCTTGTGGTTAAAAATAAATAAAAAAAGTTTTAAAAATGTATATTTATTATGTATTGATACTCTACCTCCATTATCTCCCCATTTCTAAGATATTCCTCATCCACGATGACAAGGGTGAGGAGCTCAACAGCACCACCTTTAGCCAGGCACTTGGCAGGAAGAAACAAGTTACATCAACATATTTTTGTCATGCAAGATATAAAACTGATGATATGAAACCAATAATTGGAATATTGACAGAATGACAGTCATTGACTTGAGAACCTCAGAAATATAGATCAGAATAAGATAAAACCATGTCCATGTCGTTTCAAACGGCCACCATCTGGCGCGAATAGGCTGTTTCAGCCCCAACGGCGGTAATGTATTAATAATTTGTGCAACTCGTGATATTGTAGTATGCTTGAGACCCTTATTCATGATTCACTAAAAATTAAACTTCTTAATAGTCTTAGTCTTTAAAAAAAAAAAAAAAAGTATACATTTTCTTCACTAAATTTAAATACATATATCATATAGATTGGATCTTTACATTATTTTGACATATCTAAATTAAAACGTGCTTACTAAAAATATAAAGTTTTTAAAAATAGAACATTACCTTAGCAAACGATGAACTAACACCACTCAAGTTTAAGCAAAGCATTAGGGCGTGTGCAGTAAGTGTTAGGGCCCTGTCACTTTCAATGGCATCCAGAATGGTTATTTGTCTCATATGATCAATAATTGTTTCTGAAAGTTCCAGTTTTTGTATTATGTCATAACTTCATAACAGTCACGATAAAGCAGGCTAATTTGTAAATAAATATTAGTTAAGACAAAACAAAACATTTAAAAAAAGTTATAGGCCCACATTTATAAATAGGGTATTAATAAAATCAATTTTAACAGCATTGCATTAATATTTGAACAATTCTGACTAATTTAATTTGCTTTCCTCAACTGCCTAAATGGCTCTAAAGAATAATTATGTCTTTAAATATATTAGTCACAAAATTAGTTTTATTTTTTATTTAAAAAAAAAACACAACAAAAAGTCTACACTTACTGGCATATTCAAGATCTGCTAGGAAATCAGCGATATCTTTCCTATTATGAGAATATTCGGTGAGAATTTTCAACAGATATTGAACAACTTGGTGTCCCTTTTCCCGTTGATAAGGTCCCGAATCGAATAAAATTGTGGTAACATCCGACTTTAACTCCACCAACGACTTGCAGTCATGCAGAGTTTGACCAACTGGCACATCACTTTTTGAATCGGTGTCAAACTTGATATGAAGACATTAAAATTTGATAAATTAAAACAGAAGTGTTAGAAATCGAATTGAAACCTTACAGTAAAAAGAATTAATTAAATATATAACCTCATTTACTGCACTAAAAAGACTACAACGCCAGCAAATAAACAAATCTTCAAGCTAAGAAGTAAAAAAGAACACACAAAAAGAAAACAAACAAACATAAACAGCTTAAGAGTTTCTCACCGATTTCCAAAATATACAAACATGCATTATGATTTATGTCGCTTCACTTCATCAGTGATTAGCTTGCCGGCAAACCAATAAGGCAACCATTTTTCTTTTTTTTTCGATCCTCAAAGATGTTATTTTATCATTGAAAAAGTTTCGGCGAAGGCATAAATCTATTCAACTTCAATGTTCACAAAAGAGAATAACGCAGCTATGATCAGCCGAAATAAAGCCCAGTCAAACTAAAGCCCCGTTATCTTGGGCAGTGGACAAGTACCAGGAACATGGACAGTGCCGCCACCACAACCCCCCCCCCCCAACCCCAACCCCGTCGTCATGTTAGCATACAGCAAGGCAGAGGGGCAACACAAAGACGTTTTCACTGCACAAATCACATGTGAAAACTGTTCTTAAATAAAGCCCAGTCAAACTAAAGCCCCGTTATCTTGGGCAGTGGACAAGTACCAGGAACATGGACAGTGCCGCCCCCCCAACCCCCCCCCCCCAACCCCAACCCCGTCGTCATGTTAGCATACAGCAAGGCAGAGGTGCAACACAAGGACGTTTTCACTGCACAAATCACATGTGAAAACTGTTCTTGGTTGGACAAGACAGAACAGATCCTTTGATGGTCCATTGGAGGTAACAGCAGTCCCAACTAACGTGATGCGGAGCATGCAACAAGCACAGATGGAAGCAAACAACATCATGCTGGTCATCCACTGGATCCTGTCCCTATCACCAGTCGTTCAGACCATCTCTTGCTACTGAATCCACATTGTACAAGGACAAGAGATTGAAGCTGACGTTATAAATTTCTCTCCATCACTTAAAAACAGAATCAAGCTTATGTCTATGCAATTTTCGTCCTCTAGGAAAGGGTTACTCAAACATTTTCATTAGCGGGTCGGTTCATTGTCTCTACAATACTGATGAGGGCCGGAATATAGGTTGAAATAAAAAGAAAAAAAAAAGAACTAATTCCTATGCACATTGCAAATATTTTTGTAGAGAAGAAAAAAAAAATGTGCAAAATTTTACAACCCACAAACACACACTTACATGGAAATTTGCTGTGCGGTACTCAAAGCTGCTGCGCGGCGTCTGTGAGATAGCAGCTTAAAGGGAACATTGGTACCACCTCTTTAGGGTACCACCTCTGTAGTGTACCACCTCTCTAGGGTATCTACTCTCTAGGCTACATCTCTCTAGGCTACCACCTCTCTAGGGTACCACCTCTCCAAGGTACCACATCTCTAGGGTACCATCTCTCTAGGCTACCACCTCTCTAAGGTACCACCTCTCGAAGGTACCGACCGTAAAATTTCGCTTCGGTCATGTTCGCATGTTACGGATAAGCAACTCGATTTTGCATAGAGAAACCACACTTGTTTTATTGATGACACACGTTGCCGAGCTGGGGGCTAGTGCCATCCTGGGCGGGCATAGTTACTGCTGCCCCCTGGTATTTACAGAAAAACCTAAGCAGTTGGGTCGTAAATGCCTACCTTTTGTATTTCCGCCCGGGTCGTAACATCCCGTTCACACCCAATTCTTACTCACTTAACAATATGTGATGCCGCCACCCCCTCCTCAACACTTAAATGCACTTGCCACATCTAATAACTTAACAATATTTGATGTCCTCAACACTTTAGTGAACTTGCCACATACAATATCTTAACAATATGTGATGGCCACCTCCTCAAAACTTAAGTGCACTTGCCACATCCAATAACCTAACAATATTTGATGCCCCCCTCAACACTTTAGTGCACTTGCCACATACAATAACTTAACAATATTTGATCCCCTCCTCCTCAAAACTTAAGTGCACTTGCAACATCTTATAACTTAACAATATGTGATGCCCCCCTCAACACTTTAGTGCACTTGCCACATCCAATAACTTAACAATATTTGATGTCACCCTCAACAATTTAGTGCACTTGCCACATACAATAACTTAACAATATGTGATGCCCCCATCAACACTTTAGTCCACTTGCCACATCTAATAACTTAACAATATTTGATGTCCCCCTCAACACTTTAGTGCATGGATTGAAATCGAAAGGAAGTTAGGGCAGACCAACAACTGATTCTTATCTTGCAAGTTAGGGCAGGCCAACAACTGATTCTTATCTTGTAAGATAGGGCAGACCAACAACTGATTCTTATCTTGTAAGATAGGGCAGACCAACAACTGATTCTTATCTTGCAAGTTAGGGCAGACCAACAACTGATTCTTATCTTGCAAGTTAGGGCAGACCAACAACTGATTCTTATCTTGCAAGTTAGGGCAGACCAACAACTGATTCTTATCTTGCAAGTTAGGGCAGACCAACAACTGATTCTTATCTTGCAAGTTAGGGCAGACCAACAACTTATTCTTATCTTGCAAGTTAGGGCAGACCAACAACTGATTCTTATCTTGCAAGTTAGGGCAAACCAACAACTTATTCTTATCTTGCAAGTTAGGGCAGACCAACAACTGATTCTCATCTTGCAAGTTTGGGCAGACCATCAACTGATTCTTATCTTGCAAATTAGGACAGGCCAACCACTGATTCTTATCTTGCAAGTTAGGGCAGGCCAACCACTGATTCTTATCTTGCAAGTTAGGGCAGACCAACCACTGATTATTATCTTGCAAGTTAGGGTAGACCAACAACTGATTTTTATTTTGCAAGTTAGGGCAGGCCTACAACTGATTCTTATCTTGCAAGTTAGGGCAGACCAACCACTGATTCTTATCTTGCAAGTTAGGGCAGGCCAACAGCTGATTCTTATCTTGCAAGTTTGGGCAGGCCAACAACTGATTCTTATCTTGCAAGTTAGGGCAGGCCAACCACTGATTCTTATCTTGCAAGTTAGGGTAGACCAACAACTGATTCTTATCTTGGATGTTAGGGCAGACCAACAACTGATTCTTATCTTGCAAGTTAGGGCAGACCATCATCTGATTCTTATCTTGCAAGTTAGGACAGGCCAACCACTGATTCTTATCTTGCAAGTTAGGGTAGACCAACAACTGATTCTTATCTTGCAAATTAGGGCAGGCCAACAACTGATTCTTATCTTTCAAGTTAGGGCAGACCAACCACTGATTCTTATCTTGCAAGTTAGGGCAGACCAACCACTGATTCTTATCTTGCAAGTTAGGGCAGACCAACAACTGATTCTTATCTTGCAAGTTAGGGTAGACCAACAACTGATTCTTATCTTGCAAGTTAGGGCAGGCCAAACACTGATTCTTATCTTGCAAGTTAGGGCAGGCCAAACACTGATACTTATCTTGCAAGTTAGGGCAGGCTAACAACTGATTCTTATCTTGCAAGTTAGGGTAGATCAACAACTGATTCTTATCTTTCAAGTTAGGGCAGGCCAAACACTGATTCTTATCTTGCAAGTTAGGGCAGGCCAACCACTGATTCTTATCTTGCAAGTTAGGGCAGACCAACAACAACTGATTCATATCTTGGAAGTTAGGGCAGACCAAAAACAACTGATTCATATCTTGGAAGTAAGGGCAGGCCAACAACTGATTCTTATCTTGCCATCTAGACAAGAGAACTCCCCTGCCCCCCACCCGCCTATCTAACTTATCGCCAGCTTAGCTTCCTCTACGCTCATACTTGTGTCAAGCAAACGGTGAATCTTGAATCTCTTTAGCATTTATTGCCAGTGACTCCTGCAGAGTCATAGGAGTCGCGTAACTGCTTAACATTAATAGATATAATATATCATTTTAGCGGGAGGGGGGGGAGTGGAGTGGGGGGGGTGCTCACAAATAATTGGTAATAGGCTCGAATGTCTACATTTTATTTTTAACAACCAGATTATTTTGTTCATTCCAGTTGCCTGAATTTCTTTCAAATATTAAAAAAAAAAATTTAAAGAATTTGAAAACATAATAATAACATTCATCAGATATATTATATAAAAGAGCTGTCAGTGAAATTGAAAATGTGAATCCAATGTTAGTTAAATAGCAAATACAACTTTAAAAAAAATCATGAACAATAATGTACAGTTTCTTGACCTCCTTCAAAGCACAAAGCCTTCTGAATCTGAAACTGACCTCAGCACTTCCTTGGCTCAGAAGCTGGTGGCATCTCTGCTCGTACTCGGCCTGATATGCGTCCAATTCGTGTTTCAGCTCTTCCGTAGAACTGTCGTCCATCTCTTGAACCTTCCTCCAGCCTATAGCTAGCACAGACTTTCTGTTATGTTCAGCAAGCACAGCGTTTTTTCTTGATTCATTTCTCCGTTTTTTAAAATCTCATTTAACGAAAGTCAACACACAAATTAAGCTGAGTTCTTGTACTCTGATGAAGGGAAAAAAAAGAATGAAGAAAATATATTTAATGCCAGAAGTTCATAATGATAGATATACATATACATACATATATACATACATATATACATACATATACATACATAAACATACATATGCATAAATATATGCACATATACATACATATACATACATGTACATACATTTACATACATTTACATACATATACATATATAAACATACATATACGCACATATACATACATATACATACATGTAAATACATTTACATACATATACATATATAAACATACATATACGCACATATACATACATATACATACATATATAAACATACATAGACATATACATACATATAATAATAATAAGAAGAAGAAGACGTCTTATATAGCGCGGTACCCCAGCCTAGGT